GTTTCTTTACATTTCTTTAAAAAATCTCCATATTTACTATTTGAAGATTTTATATATAATTTATATATAAATCTTGTAAAATCTGTATCACATAGCTCTCCAGATGACTAGTGAATCATCTATTAATAGAACTACATAATGTTTAATAGCTATTGTATTCTCAATTGCCACAGACTATATTTCAATAACATTAGCTAACTCTTCCGCAAAATCAATAATCTGTTTCAATATAATTTGTTGTATTTCTACATTTGTCATATCACGAATTTCAGTTTTACAATCGTTAGTATAATATTTCTATTTCAAATTTAAATATATCAATATTATAAGATATGTATATATACGTAATATATTTATAAACACAATTGAATACATATACATATTTCTAAATCTTTATCTTGAAGTATAGTAGTATCCTAATAGACTGATTGGTTTACTTCATCTCTTTGTCTTTGAAGTATTATGGGTATAAGAAACTTCTCCAAATGTTTATCTACTGTTTTAAATAAGAAATTGGTCTCTTCTTTATTTCTTATACAGGAAATTGAAAGCTTCCAGAAGTTATATTCTTCCTGCTAATCTTGCATATTTAAATTTGATGAATTTCATTTATCAATTCATATAAAGAAACATTCAAGTTATATAAGAGACGTTTCAGACTTGCGTTAACAGATTCTACTCATGAAGTTACAATCATTCTATCTATGAACTTGTAGCTTATAAAGCTGTGAGCCCAATAAGCTTTAGTTCTATAAAGCACATCCAAGTAAGAATTTGTGCAGGAAAAGTCTTAACGAAGATTTTTAAACTGTTTTTTGAAAACTTCATTTATAAAGCTATTTTAGCAAATATAAAATGCCTCAAGGAACTTAGAAAAAGTATCTCCAAGAATCTTTCTTAAGTATTTATTGATATTTTGCATTATGTAAAATGCACAATGAATTGGATATGCTTGAGAAAAACCTGATGAATTGCAAAATCAACTGCAGGGTTAGCATTAGTCATAATTATCGCACGTTGTCTATTAGTTGCCTTTAAGATTTTATTAAACACCCAGGTGTGTGATTCTAAGCTTTTATCAGGAAGTAGTGCTTGAGCAAAAACAATGTTATGTCAATAATTATTAAATTTGATAAACAATGACAAAACCATACTATAATAGTTGGTTTTGTGTATTATATCATTTAGAATACAATCTGAAAATATGATCTAGTTTTCAACTTGCTTAGGGGTCATCCATAATAATTTTGTTAGTGAATTGTCATCATCTCATCTCCTTACAATAACCCACCAAGAATTCTGATTTTTTTTATTATCCAACTAATTGGACATTGAAGCTACATTATTCAATAATATTTCAGAAGTTGGTCTAAATTTTTGAATAACAGCATACAAATCCTTGGAATTGTTATAGAACAGTTTATTATTTTATTAGTTTATTATTCTGATATTGTATTTTATTATTATTATTATTTAGTCTTATTTAGTTATTATTATTAGAGTAGAATTTAGCAGACAAGTAGTACGCTTAACGATT